CTGGGTCAAAATGACCAAGATGGCCAGGTAACTTTGGTATCATGTGACTATGTAGCCACACACGCTAATCAATTGAGAGGGTCATAGCTTACTTGGTGTCTCTAGCAGGAGCCTCCTCCAGCCGAGGAGCCAGAGGGTTCGGGTAGCAGGAAGGCTAGATCCAAGCGAGGCGTGTCAAAGATTCCTGTTGGTAGGAATGCACACTGGCACATTACTGAGTTCGATGAATTCAGTGATCCACTCTCACCACCTATAGCTTTGACCAAATACAAGACTATCCTCGGGTTACTTGTTAGGGACTTCATCCCAATTAGGTATAGGAAGTGGATTAGGAAAGATGATGACCCATGGAGGGTTCCCGAAAGTGAGAAGGATTACATATGGGATGTCAAGATCCTAGAGTATTTCATTTTCCCAACCAAGTATGACAGGGAGTTAGTCAAGAAAAAAGCAAAAGAAATCATGGAGACATGCTTCAAGAATTTCAAGGGGACATTGTACAAGAATTTTGTCCTCCAAAATAAAGAGCCAGATTTCGATGGTGGATAGTTTAGCAAGCAGAAGGACTTCTGGCAGGATTTTAAGGAATACAGGTTATCCGAGGAGTACTTAGAATTGAGCAGGAAGAATAAGGAGAACTCGCAGAAAGCGATGAATCCTCATCATCTCGGCTCTCATGGCTACGCCAAAAAGATGCCAGAATTTAAAGCAGAACTTCAAAAGATGGATCGCCTTGCTGAGGAAGGCGTTCAGGTTGAGACCGCCGATTGGGAGCCTAGATCAGTAATATACTATATGGGGAGGAATTTACGGCACGCCGAGGACAGGAGCTTTAGCTCCACCAATCAATCCATGAGCGAACTCATCCAGAGGATCTCCCAAGTAACTGAGGTGGTGAGGCAAGGGACTCGCACTTCTAATAGGGAGAAAGACGTGCTCACCCAAGCACTCAGAACCAAGGAGCACCCTGGTTGCACTAGAGGATCCAGTGTTGTTTCTTGGAAGCTAGCATTCCCCCAAGAATCTAACACTTACCGGAGTCGCTCGAGGGGTAGAGCAGAACAGGAGGCAGAGTATTTGAGGCGACTAAAAGAGATAGAAGACAGAATGGATGCACGGATTGAGGTGACTGTTGAAGCACGAGTCCAGCAAATTTTTCTATCCAAGGGGTTAGGAGTACCACAAAACCCTACTCCTACTGCCTTTAGCCCACAGTTTAGGGGTCACAGCAGCTGCGGATCGACCCCGCTCGACGAAGAAGATGCGAATGTGCCTCATCCGGTGGACGGCATCACTCAACCCATCAATGTCAAGTTGTACATCCGTCAGGAATGGACAAAGGACAAGGTGGCACTCGGCCAGGCCTGGCCTGTGGGAGATGGGACCATTAATAGCCTCCCAATTCCACAGGGGTACGCTCGCATCACCATTGACAGAATACTTGATAAGAAGTATAACAAGATACACATTGAGTGCCCCACAGCGGAAGACAGGCTGAAACTTGGTCATAAGAAGGGCTCTCAAGTGGCTTGGCGCAAGCGCTTCATTAAGCTTGACCACCAATTGTCCTCTGATGATGAGGACGACTGTGAGTCTTTGCCCATCCACGATGATCACTCACCATCTTCCAACAGAGATCACTCCCCTCCTCATCCCTTGCCATCACCCCCGAGAAGACAGAGGTCTCCTTCTATTCCTCCTTGTCCGACTCCATCTTCATCAGCCCTGAGAAAAGAGACTCCTCCACCTCCTCCTCCTCCTCCTCCATCTTCATCAACCCCGGGAAAACAGAATTCTCGTCGTCATTGTCCTCCTCCTCCTCCACCTCAGCCCAAAACAAGATCAAGGACATCCTCGCAGTCGCAGAAAAGGTCCTTGGATTCGGTCGCTAATGCTCCCAAAGTGGACCAACAAAAAAGAAAAAGGCCATTCAATGATAGGGTTACCACCTTGATGAAAGAAAAATTTACAGCACACATCTCGAAGGAAGATTGTGTTAGTTTCTTCAATCTCTGTGCCTCACTGCCTCCTTTTTTGTTGAAGTCCGAATTCGAAAGGCAAACACAGAATAAATACGCTACAACAAGAGATGAAGAAATACACAATAAAGATTTAATGAACATACAAAAGTACATCGAAGACAACCTAGAATAAACCATGGAATAGGTCGCGGACATCTATTATGATATACAAGGGATGGGAACACCGGCAATGAAGTATGAAAGGGGCAATCTTTTGGTTCCAGATCATGAGTATAAAAATTTGACAACATATATGCGCCAGTTACATGAATATTACATGGCTCAAGCAACAGAGACGGATGACTTTGGTTTTGAGGTTATTATCCATTCGCCACATGTTTTTCATTATCCTAAAGAAGAGAAATTCGATGTCGAGTGGGAGTGCCTATTCCAGCTATACCAGAAACTCTCTTCGATGTTCAAATGTTGATGCTGTGGACTATGTAAGTACACTACACGCACGATATTACAATTAACTACTCCCTCGAGACACAAATTATTAACTTTTGAGCACTTCCCATGATTTTATGTAGGTGTATAGCAAAATTTTGCATTCTAAAAAGCAAATGGGATAACATAGGCTTCTTGGACCCCTTGCGAGTCAATGAGAGGATATGTCTAGGCCTCCATGGATGTGACGTGGAAGACCTGAAACAGAGATTGATTGATGTTTTCGATGAATTCACGATGAAGAACAAAACCCACATACTTCTAGCCTACAACTGCGAGTATGTGTTCCCAGCTTTTAATTTTTTGCTTCTTTTTTCGTTAAGATTATTCAATAATTAGGATTATGTGATTGCAACAACCATTTCGTCTTCATTTGTGTTAATCTTGCCAAAAATCTGATCAAGGTGTGGGACTCGAAGAAAAAACCATTTCATCATTTGGATGCACTGGTGGCAGTGCTGAATTAGTAAGCGATCCTAATAACATATTATTTTCTAATCACACATACCGCTTTCTAATGTTTCTCCTTTTAATGTTGCTCAATGTCCAAAGAAGACATATTAGTGGGACGCCGGTCACATTCAAGGTTGTCGAAATGGAGGGGAAGTACCTAAAACAGCCGGCGGGAAACAATGAATGTGGGTTTTATGTAATGTGGGCAATGCTTCGCTACATCGGCGGGAAATCGGAAGAAGCCGATAAGTTGGTGTGTATAATCCCCATTTCATTTATGTCTGTTAATAATTCAACAAAAATGATTTACTGTTCCTCTTTGGATATCATCTTTTTTGAACGACAGTGCAAGAAATATAACCACGAAAGGCTGTTAGACATGGAGATCGTCGCACTGCAATCGGAGCTGGCAAAATTCATCTTAGCCGAGGTATTGGAAAAAGATGGAGTATTTTCCATTGCACAATCCGTGAAGTACAAGGACCAGTATGGCCCAGAGCGGCTCGCCAGATTATTGTAAGAAGTCCGAGAAGCATTGTACAATCTGTGAAGTCCAAGAACATTTCTTTTTTATTTTGAGGGATCAAGATCTTGATAAGAACATTTGAACTGTAACCGTAACATTTGTAATGTTTAATATTGATAGACCTGTCGTCCACGTAGCGTATATAAAGCGAAACCCGATTCCACAAAAAAATATAAATTAAAATAAATTATAAAACAATAAAATGCGAACTAACATCACTGCCGGTTAACAGAAAACCGATAGTGTTGTCGTAAACATCACTGTCGGTTAGCAACAAAACCGGCAGTGATGGCACTGCCGGCTCGAGCCACAAACCGGCAGCATTGGCTTAGCCATCACTGCCGGTTCTTGTCACAAACCGGCAGTGATTCTTACGACATCACTGCTTTCATTTCAATTGGTCGGGATTATGACTTGGTAAAAGTTTTCATGGATATTCTCTTTCATCTTGACGGTGAAAAGCATAAGGACATTCACAACACTCGAAGAGGCCTCGAGCTCCTCATTCACCAACTTCGAGAATTCCTGAAGAAAAAGAGGTAACACAAACACTCAATTGTAAATTGTAATTAGCCAGTGCCATTTAAGATATTGCTCCACAGTTACTCGATGCTACACTATGTTGTAGGTTATACTAAAAATGTTATCTCCACATCATTTATGCCAGACTACTTCTTGAGATTGATTTTCTCCACTCCATGCATACAAGAAATGCATTTATCCAGTAGTCTCTACCTAACAGCTTCTAGCTCATTTTTAAGTATGTTGCTTTTAGACTACTATAAAAGGGCAATGCATTTAGCACTTCTAAACATCATAGTTTAAGTAAAATCGTAAACGTTTCCAATTATGAATTGAGCTTAGATTTTGAAAACGTGTTTCTTATCTGAAACTATAAATCTTAGGAAAAACACATTTTTAGGGTGTCACCTATGTTTGCAACATGCCTATAGATGTTCTGTATAATAAATTAACTTCTTACATATGTAGTTTTCTTCAAATAGGCCCTTTGGTGTGTAGTTTCCATAAATATCACTACCAGAATCCTGAATTACCTTGACTGCCAAAAAACGCAAAGGAAAATATTAGAACCGCAAAGGAAATAATCCTTGAACATTAACCATCAAGCAAATTCCGTCATGTATTTTATTTTTACAAGCGCGATCATGTGTTTCATTTGTCATGCGGACTTCCTTTAATCATAGCAAGTTTCTTGCGTCTTCAGAAGGTCAAACTTTACTAACCAATGGTTCTTCCACTTTGGTTTGGATAGGTATTTTATTGTTTCTCATGATGTATGGGAGGTACGCACTTGAGAAGCAATCGAACTATCACTGGTTGAGAATAATCTTGGAAGTAAAGTAATCACAACTAGTCGTAATTTTGATGTTGCCAAAGCATCTGGTAAGGTTTACAAGCTAAAGCCACTTTCCTATGATGACTCCATGAAATTATTTTATACAAGGTTATCTGGTGCAGACCGAAAGTTCCATGAAATTTCTGAGAAAATTCTAAAGAAATGTGCTGGTATACCATTAGCAATCACCACAATGGCTAGTTTGTTGGCTGGTAAACCAGAGTGTGAATGGTCAATGGTCTACAACTCTATTGGTTTGGACACTGGAGGTAATAGGGAAGCTGAAGATACTATGACAATACTCTCATTTAGCTACTATGATCTCCCTCCAAATTTGAGGACATGCTTAATATATCTCCTACAACTAAAATGAATAAAAGTAATACTATTTTTTTTATGCGGCTTTTTTTTTTGTCGCTCCTTCTTCCCGTCCGAGTGGTACCGCATCCCCCGTTGCCCGCTCCCTCCCCTCCCCTCAAATCACACTCCATCCCCTCCAATCATGCTCCCTCCCTTCCCCATCGTGCGAAACAAATCCCGACGCCTCGCCCGCTTCCCTCGGCTTCCTCTGCTACGCGCCCCCCTTGCGCGAAGCGCCGCACCGAGCAGGACAGCCGGCCACCGCATCGGCGCGAGCGGGCGGCCTGGACCTGGTGCGGCGGACGACGTGGCTGAGGCGGAGAAGGTCCCCGGGGACCTCCCGATTTCTCAGGCGCTCGCCGGGGCACGGTGCAGCCAGGCCGGATCCGGTCGGCGCTCGGTCGGAGACGGCGTAGTTGAGGCGGAGAAGGTCGGAGACGCCCCCACCACACAGGCCGTGCTCCCGCCCCATAGCGACTCCGCCAGGCCACCGCAACTAGGCCCATCGCACGCAACCAACGCAGTCTACCCCGGCTCACCCTGTAACGGCGCCGCAGTAGGGCGACCTCGGCGGTAGCGCACCCGACAGCGCAGTCGATGCGGAGGTCAACCTCGCATCTGGAGCAGAACCGACGCGCTGCCCTATCCCGCTCACCATACGTCGGTGCCTCGGCCGCGCTGCCGCCGCCCAGCTCCTCCCTGTCCTGCGTTGCTGGGCGATCTCGGCGGTGGCGCACCCGGCGGCGTAGTCGACGCGGAGGTCGACCTCTGAGCGCGGGCGGGTCAAGACGGCAGTAGACGTGGGGCTGGTAGCTGCCGCATCGTCATGCCCATGGGTCACCAGGTGCAGCATCTACGATCCTTTACTTTGAGTTTCCAATCGATTTTTTTCTTTCTCAATTTGTTGCTACTGCTCTGTTATACATTGGAATGATTTTCATTCACTTGCACCCCCGGCAGTTTGATTCATGTTAGGTTGATGGGCCCCAATTAGGGACTATGCTCGGACCGCACAAATCCAGACCTAACCCACCAAACAAATGAACAAATGTTCAGTTACATTGAGGGGTATTGTAAGTTGGAGACTTGGAAGCAAGATCTTAAATTTGTAGTCTGTATATTTCTGAAACTACTTATCAGGTCCCTCTGGCTGTAGACGAGGGGAGGCAAGCTGCGATGGAATAGGTCGGTCTTCTGGTGTTTATTTCAACCTCCATCAGGACTTGAAATTGGAATGAGTTATCTGCCGGTGAAGCATTGTTTACTGCTAGCAAAACCACATACTAAGAAAACAAAAATCAATTGCAGGTCTATGCATCACGCGGATCCAGCATGTAGATTCATGTGAGGAAGAGCGAATTCGGTCGCTGTGGCTCCGCAGCAAAGGCTCATGTGCTCCTTTCGTCCTCGATTTATTTTCTCTCTATATATATCTCATTGATGCTGCTGTTGCGCTGGCCTCCACTAGCACAAATTGGGGAAGGCATCGCCGAGTGCAAGCTGCTGCCTTGGTTTGTCGCCAAGGTGAGTGCGAGGCTGTGTACAGTTTCAGTTCTTTCGTTCTGCAGTGCCATCTTGCCTATGAATGATACTTAGTATGTTGTCCCCAGGATTCAAGAGTGACTTTGTTGTGAGAGCAACATTTCTTTAGGAATGATGGTTAGTAGGTTTCCCCTAGGGTTCTGGTCTTTGTCTATCTTATAAGAATGCAACACTAAAATTGTAGTCGGAGTCTAACACGTGACTCTGTTTTGGGCTTTTATCTTAGTTGAACATATATCTGAAGCATGTAGGAGGTTTGCTAAGATTGACGTAGAAGTAGTTTAAAAAATACATTAAGTAACATTTTCCTCTTGACAAACAAGAAGCTGACCAAAAGGAAGTTGCTACCTCTGCCGCTGTGCTGGTTAGTTGGCTTCCTTCCATGTTCCTTCACACAAAGAATATGAGGGTTTGAATGCTTGATGGATGTGGCAATTAGGTTTTAGTTTAGAGTTATTCTTGATTTATGCTGATTTGGGTTGGTGGATTGGTAGAACTGCCATTACAAACACTCTGTTTTTTGCATGATCTGAGGCGCTGAAATGTGGGCCATGCCATAAAATGGAAAATACATTATATATGTTTGTGCTGGAATGTATAACTCTGCAAATATGTTGCTTTGATTTTTTTCCAAATAGATCCATCTGAAATGTCACTTTGCCAGTCTGCCATATTCTAAAGCTCTTGTAGTATCCAAACTCATTTTGTTATGATTTTACCAACTTGCGGCTACGGATTCCAGCGTTTAACTTTGCTTCTTCAGACTGGGCTCTGTGTCATATTTGCTTGCCCTTCTTAGCATGTTTGCCTCAACTAATGGTGCATACCAATCTTTCCCGAAAGTCAACTTGGTTAGTTCTTTGATGCCCTGAGGTCGATTCCTATAGAACTGGTGATTCCTTTGTAGTTAGTAGTGTAAATTTGCTCTATTTTAGTGCTTCCATCACATTTGGATGTGATTATTTATAAGCTTCCATAAGGCCTTTGGAACTAAAAAACAATATGGTGCTAATAACAGGTGCAAGTTTTCCTATGCCTTCTGAATGGTTCCCTATGCTATTGCATTGCTCAATAAGATGTTGTAGCTTTGCTGAAATTAACAGGTTCACATATTCAAAAAAAAAACCAAGGACAAGGGTGCAATGGTACATTCATAAGTATGTCTAAGGTATTTTGCTATTTTCTTGCTTGTAAGCTGTTCTTGATTAGTGCTATGTGCTATGGACAGTGCCATCACAGTCTGTGAGCTCGAATTTGTTCAGGTCGATTTGTGCTATGGGCAGTACAATCACAGGTTGTGAGTTCGAGTTTGTGACAATACGAGAACTTGCCTGAATCCAGTTATGGAAGCCTGATACCTCACTCTCCCCTGAATCGGCATGAGTAAGTATTGCTCATTAGAGTTCATAGCTCAGTTTAGTGCTTAGTGCTTGAATTTACCTTTTCTCACACTATGTCGGATACTTTTGTCACTGATATGGGAGGATCTGCATAAACTCCTGTCAGAATACATGAATTGGGAGGAACTGCATAAATTCCCACCATTTATTAACCTGAATTGGAGAAGGAGGCCTCACTGGAGACTAGGAGAAGTACATGAAGGTGAAGAGCAACATTCTCGGAGGTACAGATCTCAGTTTTCACTTGTGATAATGTAAAGTTACATGATTATTGTGATAATCTGATGGTCCTTTCACCACTCCTCATTTTAGACAATACATTGGAATTTTGTTAGATAATCTTGCTCCATTTCTATGATATTAGAAAAGTAAAACATGGCATGCTGTCTGTGAAGTTTGTTGCATCCTAGAGTTAAAGCATTAGGCTAGAAAGACAGTCTAAAATAATCCCCACCCAGCGCCACGCCGCCTGGCCTGACGAGCAGAAGAAGACATCCAGAATAACGACTGCATCGCCCGCCGCACCCTGAGCAGGGTGGCGCTCCTGGATCCTGCCACAGCGCCGCTCGTGGGATCGGCAGTGGAGGGGACATGGATTCGTCGCGCCACCGGCGGATGCGCCTACCAGCGACCCACCTCGCATGCTTGGCTCCCATTGGACCAGTGCAGGCCATCCTCCTGTAGTCTCGCTTCCGCCATCGTGTCTCATCCTGCACCCTCCTGCCGTCGAGCGCCAACCACAACCTCCGGCACAACAGTCGAAGTGCCGGACCAACGCGCCCAAGAATCCTTACACTAGAGCAGCGCCACAATAGGTACAAGAAGATTTGCTACTACAAATCTACAATCTAATAATCTTCCTTGTTCCGCAATTATTTATTTGCAATTTCTGTTGTATTATTACAGGATTAATCAAGCCTGTAGGCTATAGCAGGATGAGTAAATCATCCGGGAGTTCTGATTTATTTCAACTTGAACCCATGTCTACCTTTAAAAATTAAGACCTATGTGGATTGAATTTATATTGAGGGCAGGGTATATCTGTCTCCGCTATCTGGAGCCCCTTTGTACTGCATTGCCACCTGCCGGTAAGCAACAACTTCAATTTGGTTGGACTTCATTTACTACAGCAGTAGTGTTCTATTTATGTTTGAATACGCACAAGGTAGTCACCAGATAAGTGACAGTTTGGTTTGTACTTCAATTGCCTCACGAAGTGCTGTGTGCTAAAGCTTTCTTATTTACATCTTATAAAAGCATGTAAATGTGTTTTGTCTGCCAAGACAGTGGTGCAAATATGATCTCCTGTGACCAATTTGGCTGAAGAGGTTGGAGTGTTACTAGATGGGATTAACTAACTATTTTGGACAGCCAAAGAAATGATAGATGTCTGCCTCCAAGCGATCCACATTTGGGATGAGTTCATCGCTGCTCTGAATGACAAGCTTGACCTTGGCACCATAGTGAGATGAAAGCCCGAATAAAAAGGGAAGGGAAACTTGGAGATGCCAAAACAGTATGCACTCAATTTGACAACCCATAACTTCTAGAAAGAACCCTGTGCTTACTTTGATTCTAGAAGGCCTGCAAAGATGTGAGGTCTCTAGGGGCCTTTTGATGAGTGAATAAGATGGGAGTTCATATGATTCATATCCAGTTTGTATAAAATTGTACCTTAATATAAACCCAAGGTTGACACCGCATTGTTTTTTTTTTCTTTTGGAAACCAGTGTATAGGTTGTTCATCACGAGATCAGACATACTTGTTTATTTTAGGTTGTTATTATTTTGCTGATTTTTGAGTTCACATCCATTGTTTTAAGGCATCTATCATGCACATGTATTTCATAGCTAGGAAACCCTTGCCCATCAATTAGTTCCACTCCCTATACTATTTATATTTTTTCCTGAATCCACAGGTTCATTAGTTAGGTCCAGTTCAGTGAAATTTTAGTACAGTACCTATAATGACAATGTTCCTTTACAATCCTATTATGTTATCCAGTTTTTGAGTGATTGTTTAATAACCTGACTATTCATATAAGCAATCTTTTCATTGAGACCAATACTCGGAGAAGTTTATGCTGTCAACATGTCATTCGGTAACTTTTATATGGCCTGATATTAACGTGCATCCCCTTCAGCTTGGCTTTTTCTCCATGTCTATAACAATGGGTACAGTCACAAATGACTCATTAGTTTGGCGGCAGGAGCAGACATGATCCGTTGAAGACAATATATACCTGTAGTAGCGCACGGGATAATACTTGCAATAACGATGTTGCAAACATCATGTTCGAAATATCACTTGTAATGGCAATGTTGCAAACATCACACACAAAATAGCACTTTGTAATGGCGATGTTGCAAACATCACACACAAAATATTGTTTTTTTTTTGTGACAATATAACACATTCATACTTATATTGTCGTGGTGTGATTTACATATATACTCGAACCTGTGTACATGAAGGTATGGAAATGCGGCATAACTTATTCGTGGATTTATTGGCGCACAAAAGAAATGGATATCAAAGATTTCTTCCTGCCGATATAAAACATTATCTTAGGTGTATCACGGAAAGGTCTATAAAGTAGAGTTTGTAAGTCTGTGACGCCGCGCTCTCCGTGACTGTTAATTTCACAAACTTTACTTTTTGGATTAACTGTAACTTTAACGTTGATATTTAATTTTTACAGTATTGTTATCTTATCGTGCGATTCGTGTGTAATTAGTACAAAATATTAGCTATCCCGTAGAACGCACGGGCACGCTACCTAGTCTAAGTACATATCCAGAGATCGAAAAGGATTCCTTGATATGGAAATGGAGAGCCAAAGGATTTATCAATCCAGATCGAGGAAAAACATTATTTGGGCTTGGCGAAAGATACTTCAATGATCTCATTAATAGAAGCTTGCTGATCCAGGTAGTGGAGGCATGGGATGGCAGAGTATCAGGCCGTCGTATTCCTGATATGGTTCTTGATATGATTCGTAAGCTTGCATTTGAAGAAAACTTTATTGCTCTATTAGGTGATAATATTGAAGCAACAGCTGGACGCGTTCCCAGGCATGGGCGCGGCCACCTGGCCGCTACAGGCGCACGCGGGCTTAGTCATCACTCTAGGCACAAAAAACCGAGAACCGAAAACAGAACCGAACTAAACGGAATCGGAACCGAAGTAACCGAAACCGAAATATTCGGTCCCAGGTTCGGTTCCAGGTCCCCAGGACCCGAAATTATTATGGTTAATTCGGTTCCAGCACTCGGTTAACCGAATTGACCTAGGGGGTTATCGTCGACGGTGGAGGCACGGAAGAGGCGCGGGACACGACGGGGCGGACGGCGATGGCGGTGCTAGGGTTTTGCGGCTCGGCGCGACGACTCGACGGATGCGGCTTGCTCTAGAACTATGCGGGGGGTGGGGGGGGGGCGATGCGGCGCAGGGGCTCCGGCTTATAAGGGGAGCAGTAAGGCTTGGAGAGCACGGCATGGGATGAGGCGGCTCAGAGGCGGAGTCTGGCGGCGGCGGAGCAGAGTCCGGGTCGGCGATGGCTCGGGGAGAAAGATGACTCCGCTGAGACGTGGGCCCAGGGTGTCTGCGACTCAAGGCGGAAGAGTGGGGAGGCACGGGCGCGGCTGCTTGCTGGGGCGGCCTGCTGGGCTGTTGGGAGAGGGAGAGAGGCCGAGCGATGTTGAGCCAGTCTGCTAGCGCGGAGGCGTGGAGAAGGGAGAGCGGTGCTGGGCCGCGGGATGAGCTGGGCTAGAAGGGAGCGCAGCGCGCTGGGCCGGCGGAGAGGGAGCGGGCCGCGCTGCGGATGGGATGGGCCGGCAGGGAGAACAGCCCAGAAGCCAGGGAGAGAGAGAGGGTAAAGAAAATTCTTTTTTTTTCCAAATGTTTTTCCAAATCCATTTGAATCATTTCAAATTTTTTTGGTCAAAACCACTCACCTCAACAAATAAAATGCAACGGCATGTATGCTCAAACATGTTGCTACCTTATGATAAATTTTAATTTAATGGAAAAATATTATTTCCTATGTTTTTATAAGCATAAAAATACCAAATTAAATCTTTTTAACCCTATTTCAAAAAGAGCAATTTTTTGGGTGTTAGATCACCCTAATTCATGGGGCCATGGCGGCAAGACCGCCAATAGCGCGCTCAGCCCGTCGTCGTGGCGGGATCCAACTTTCTGCATGCCGCCAGCATGCATATATGACCTCCTTGCAGTGATGCAGGGCGCTTGCATTGCAAGTCTGCAACAGTACAT